GAAGTGGAAAACCGCCTTAACCTCGTTGTTTTCCTGCCCTCCCTGTAGGCTGCCAACCACAACCAGACGTTTCAAACATCCATCGTTCGCCATCATCGGGGAGGCGGCATCAAGCAGCCCCAACTCGCGCAGCTCCTCCCCAACAGGGCGTGTCAGCCCGTTTAGGGGGCGGGGCTTCAATGCGGCCGGCTCGAGGCACGTCAGCCCCAGCGCCTCCCCGATTCCGCCCGAAGACCCCCGAACGAGAAGCCCCAGCCCCACCAAAACTGCCTCATCGAAAATTCCGAAACCCCGAAAATCCTCCACCGCTGCGGTGTTCGGGGAGAAGGTGAACCACGTGGAGTTCCAAGGGCTGAGCCGGCAGGGGAGTCAGAGTCTGAGCAGTTTGGAGGAGAGGCAGACGCGTGGGAAGCCGCCTCCCAGCCCCCGGAAGAAGTTGACGGGGGCATTCAAGCAGCTGTCGCCTATTCAGGGCTCCAGCCCGGAGCCCAGTCAGTCCCAGTCTTCCCCCTCTCGCATTCCGACGAAGAGCCAAAGCACGCCGCCCAGCCGGTATGCGTCTCCTACTAGGGAGCCGAAGGCGAAGAGGAGCCGGTCCAGGCCCAGTGTGGCCAAGAGCCGAGACCCGAGCCCCTTGGCGTCTCCTACGAAGGCGAACCGCTACCAGCATGTGCAGTCGAAGATCAACACCTTCAACAGGCCCAGGCCGCCTGCCAAGCCGCAGCTGTCCAGCGATGTGTCCGAAGATAGCGGCTCGCCGAAGAAGAAAGTGCAACCGCGTAGAAACTCCTTCAATCGGACACCCTCCCGGCCAAATTTGCTTCCGAAAACCTACATGGGGAAGCCCAGCAGTTATACCAGTGATAGTAGTGATGCTGTGGACGTTAGAACCCCACCTGTGAAGCCTCCAGCTGCTAAACCTCCAGCAGCAGCAGCAGCAAACAAAGTACTTCCAGCCCCCAATGCTTCCAGTTCTCCTAGCAAGAGCAAAGCGCCTCCTAGGGCCAAAGGCCCCAAGGGGGCTGACCGCCCGGCTAAAACAGGCAACAATCGTAGGCCTTCGAAGGCTTCGCCTGCTGAAACATCCGGCGCTGAGGACCAAAGCAGCAGAAAAGCGCCTCCTTCGGCCGACCTGGAGGATGGTGGCGCCCCATCGGCCCTGGGCGTGGTTTCGAGCACCACCAGCACGGTGGCCACGCCCCTGAAGATAGAGACGCCCAAATTGGGGCGGGGCAAGCCGATGTCCCCGATGATCGATGGGCGGGTGCTGAGCGCGACCAGCGTGAGCCACGCGATCAACAAAATGAACGACACCGTGCTCAACACGCAGACGTTGATCAAAGATAGTGGCCTGCCAACCCGGTTGCCTGCCGCCAGTGCGATTATTGCCTTAAAAAGTGATTCCAGTGCAAAAGAGGTGGAGGACAGCGGAAAAAGCAGCATCAACAGCAAGCCAGAGGCGACCACGATTGCCCCTAAGGAAACCTCCACTCCCACCACAACAACAACAGCAGCAAATGAAGAGGAAGCTGCCACCAACCCCACCTGCAACTCCGCCCAACCAGCGAAAGTTCCAGACTATCCACAAAGCAAGCCAATGAACAACAACCACAGCAATCATGTGACCACGATAGGGTTGGGCAACGCGAAGGCGATTGAGCGAGAGGTGCAGAACAACATGAATCGCCTACTGGGTTCGATGGAGTCAAGTCTGGATGGTGTGCCGGCCTCCAAGATGTCGGTGAATGATCGCATCCGGGAGGCGAGGACTGTGATTGCGGCCGATGTGAAGCCGATCAGGATCACGGTGAGGGAGAAACCGTCCGATGTGGATGTGCAGAGTGGGAATGTTGGGCCGCATTTCGGGATTGCCAATGGAGTGAACGAGAGGCCCAGGTGAGTTTTTTTTTTTTGAGGGTTTTGAGTGAGGTTGTATGGAAGGTATATTGGGTAGTTTGAGGGCGGGTGGAGAGAACGTTTAGTGGCTCACAGAGACTAAGAAGCTGGTTGAAACTTCTACAATTAGCTAGATCAAGAGGCAACTTGAAACTTTCACCGAGTGGTCAACATACATTAAAGTATTTTTAGGAGAGTTTTCTAATAAATACGTCGCGACACTGATTTTTGAGAATCAAATTGAGTAACGAACTTTTTTTGCATGGGTTTCTAAAAAAACTTGAAAATGCAACTTTAAACTTTCACAAAGTGAAAACAGTGCAATAAAGTACCTCTAGTGAACATTTCAAATAAATACAAACAGGCGTTGATTTTTGAGAATGTGAGTCAGATTTGCCTAAGAATCGGTCGCTTGCAAGGTTTTCAGAAAAAATTGAACCTCGTGAACCAGACGAAGAGAGAACTTGAAACTTTCACAAGGCGAAAACAATGAAATAAAGTTCTTCTAGTGAAATTTTCAAGTACATTGCGAAATCTACTGATTATTGAGAATCTGACGAAGTTGAGTAATAAACGGTTACTTGCAACCTTTTCCGGAAAAAAAATTAAACTCTCTAACCGAACGAAGGAGCAACTTGAAACTTTCACAAGATAAAAACAATGAAATAAAGTACATCTAGTGAAAATTTAAAGGAAATTGGAAAATCTACTGATTAGTGAGGATCTGTCAAAGTTGAGTAATAAACGGTCACTTGCAAAGTTTTCCGGAAAAAAATTTAACCTCTCTAACCGAACGAAGGAGCAACTTGAAACTTTCACAAGATGAAAACAATGAAGTAAAGTACATCTAGTGAAAATTTAAAGGAAATTGGAAAGGCCACCGATTATTGAGAATCTGTCAAAGTTGAATAATAAACGGTCACTTGCAAAGTTTTCTGAAAAAAAATTTAAACTCTCTAATCGAACGACGGAGTAACTTGAAACGTTCACAACGTGAAACCAATGAAATAAAGTACATCTAGTGAAAATTTAAAGAAAATTGGAAAATCTACTGATTTTTGAGAATTTGTCAAAGTTGAATAATAAACGGTCACTTGCAAATTTTTCGGAAAAATTTTTTTAACTCTCTAATCGAACGACGGAGCAACTTGAAACTTTCACAGGGTGGAAACAATGAAATAAAGTTCTTCTAGAGAAAATTTCAAATACCCTGCGAAATCTACTGATTATTCAGAATCTGTCAAAGTTGAATAATAAACGGTCAGTTGCAATGTTTTCCCAAAAAAAAATTAAACTGTCTAACCGAACCAAGGAGAAACTTGAAACTTTCACAGGGTGAATGCAATGAAGTAAAGTATATCTGGTGAAAATTTAAAGGAAATTGGAAAATCTACTGATTATTGGGAAGCTGTCAAAGTTGAGTAAAAAACGGTCACTTGCAAAGTTTTCCGAAAAGAAATAAAACTCTTTAACCCAACGAAGGAGCAACTTGAAACTATCACAAGGTGAAGACAATGAAATAAAGTTATTTTAAAGAAAGTTATTGATTATTATTATTATACTACTGATTATTGAGAATCTGACAAAGCTGAGTAGTAAACGGTCACTTGCAAAGTTTTCCGAAAAAAATTTAAACTCTCTAACCGTACGAAAGAGCAACTTGAAACTTTCACCAGTTGAAAGCAATGAAATAAAGTAGATCTAGGGAAAATTTAAAGGAAATTGCAAAATCTCCTGATTATTGAGAATCTGTCAAAGTTAGGTAATAAACGGTCACTTTCAAAGTTTTCCGAAAAAACATTAAACTCTCTAACCGAACGACGGAGCTACTTGAAACTTTCACAAGGTGAAAGCAATGAAATAAAGTACACCTAGTGAAAATTTAAAGGAAATTGCAAAATCTACTGATTATTGAGAATCTATCAAAATTGAGCAATAAACGTTCACTTAAAAGGTTTTCGTAAAAAAATTGAAACTTCCCAATCGGTCGAAGGAACGACTTGAAACTTTCACACACTAAAAACAATACAATAAATCAGTTCTGGCGAAAATCGCCGGTAAATACAGAAAGACGCTGTAGTTTTCTAAACTTTGTAAATTGGATATAAAAAAAAAATTGAAACTTCCCAACCAGACGAAGGTGCAACTTGAAACTCTCACAAAATGAAACAGAGGCACTGAAGCAATTCTAGTGAGAATTTCAGGTAAATACATGCAGACACTCATTTTTGAGAAACGCTCAACATTTAGTAGCAACTGCTCACTTGTAGAGCTGATTGTAAAAATATAAAACTTTTCAGCCAGTTGATGAGGCAACGTGAAACTTTTCACAACAGGAAAAATACACAAGAGCACTTCTAGTGAAAATGTCATAGAAATATGGAAAAACACAAATTTTTAGCAAATTATTGTCTCATACGGCCGGGAAATTCACCACAAAGCCCTTGAACTACATAATATATCGACCTCAACTTTTGTTGCTATAATCGTCGTTTTTCGATGCATAGATTGAGTTATTTGGGCCTCAAGTAGTTTCTTTTAGCCGGGAAACTTGACACAGATTTCGGAAATTGCGTCTAAATTTAGTCTTGCGGAAACCCTGATTCATTTAGGGTGCTTCAGTGTTTATTCTTCTTCGGCCAAATCGTATTTGCTGCAAAATTGAATTGAAATGAATTTGCAATTTCAGTCGATTGAAATTTTAATGGATTTCCAATGCATAATTTGGTGCAACAAATGGTTGCAGCGGCGTACAAATTTAATGTGTGTTTTAATACATTTATTTCGGGTTGAAATTTGCATTGCAAAATAGCGATATCGACCAGCCAGCGGATCA